TTTTACTTTTGATAACAGAGTCTTGTATTAACTGATACACTATCTCACACGAACAATCTGTTTTACATTGAAAACACAGTACTATATTAACTGATACACAGCCTCACACGAACAATCTCTTATACATTGGATAACACAGTACCATATTAACTGATACACTGTCTCACACGAAGAATTTGTTTTACATTGGATAACATTGGAACCATATTAACTGATACATTGTCTCACACGAACAATCTGTTTTACATTGGAAACACAGTACCATATTAACTGATACACAGCCTCACACGAACAATCTCTTATACATTGGATAACACAGTACCATATTAACTGATACACAGCCTCACACGAACAATCTGTTTTACATTGGATAACACCGTACCATATTAACTGATACACTGTCTCACACGAACAATCGGTTTTACATTGGAAACACAGTACCATATTAACTGATACACAGCCTCACACGAACAATCTCACACGAACAATCTGTTATACATTGGATAACACAGTACCATATTAACTGATACACATCTCACACGAACCTCACACGAACAATCTCTTATACATTGGATAACACAGTACCATATTAACTGATACACTGTCTCACACGAACAATCTGTTTTACATTGGATAACACCGTACCATATTAACTGATACACTGTCTCACACGAACAATCTGTTTTACATTGGATAACACTGTACCATATTAACTGATACACAGCCTCACACGAACAATCTCTTATACATTGGATAACACAGTACCATATTAACTGATACACAGCCTCACACGAACAATCTCTTATACATTGGATAACACAGTACCATATTAACTGATACACAGTCTCACACGAACAATCTCTTATACATTGGATAACACAGTACCATATTAACTGATACACTGTCTCACACGAACAATCTGTTTTACATTGGATAACACAGTACCATATTAACTGATACACAGCCTCACACGAACAATCTCTTATACATTGGATAACACAGTACCATATTAACTGATACACTCTCTCACACGAACAATCTGTTTTACATTGGATAACACTGTACCATATTAACTGATACACAGCCTCACACGAACAATCTCTTATACATTGGATAACACAGTACCATATTAACTGATACACTGTCTCACACGAAGAATTTGTTTTACATTGGATAACACAGTACCATATTAAGTGATACACAGCCTCACACGAACAATCTCTTATACATTGGATAACACAGTAAGTACCATATTAACTGATACACTGTCTCACACGAAGAATTTGTTTTACATTGGATAACACAGTACCATATTAACTGATACACAGCCTCACACGAACAATCTCTTATACATTGGATAACACAGTACCATATTAACTGATACACTGTCTCACACGAAGAATTTGTTTTACATTGGAAACACAGTACCATATTAACTGATACACAGCCTCACACGAACAATCTCTTATACATTGGATAACACAGTACCATATTAACTGATACACTGTCTCACACGAACAATTTGTTTTACATTGGATAACACAGTACCATATTAACTGATACACAGCCTCACACGAACAATCTCTTATACATTGGATAACACAGTACCATATTAACTGATACACTGTCTCACACGAACAATCTGTTTTACATTGGATAACACAGTACCATATTAACTGATACACTGTCTCACACGAACAATCTGTTATACATTGGATAACACAGTACCATATTAACTGATACACAACCTTTTTCACTCTCTTAGATGAACTGATACTTTTTCACTCAGAGGCCTTGGATAATGGGACGAAGAGGATCTTACATACACTGATACTCTATCATTAGCAGAGGCCTTCACGACAATGGGACGACAGAGGATACATTAAACACAAGACAAGACACGGTGACGTTATCTTCACAATGACGTGAGCAATACAACCGTGTGACTACATGACAAGACAATGACACTCCAATGTTGATGACAATAATGACAAGACGTTGAGAAACTGTTCAGATAATGACAAGACAATGTTGAGAAACTGTTCAGATAATGACAAGACAATGTTGAGAAACTGTTGACTGTTGTTCAGATAATGACAAGACAATGTTGAGAAACTGTTCAGATAATGACAAGACAATGTTGAGAAACTGGTCAGATAATGACAAGACAATGTTGAGTTCAGATAATGACAAGACAATGTTGTGAAACTGTTCAGATAATGACAAGACAATGTTGAGAAACTGTTCAGATAATGACAAGACAATGTTGAGAAACTGTTCAGATAATGACAAGACAATGTTGAGAAACTGTTCAGATAATGACAAGACAATGTTGAGAAACTGTTCAGATAATGACAAGACAATGTTGACTGTTCAGATAATGACAAGACAATGTTGAGAAACTGTTCAGATAATGACAAATGACAATGTTGTGAAACTGTTCAAATAATGACAAGACAAAGATAATGTGAGAAAAACTGTTCAAACAAGACAATGTTCAGATAATGACAAGACAATGTTGTGAAACTGTTCAGATAATGACAAGACAATGTTGTGAAACTGTTCAGATAATGACAAGACAATGTTGTGAAACTGTTCAGATAATGACAAGACAATGTTGTGAAACTGTTCAGATAATGACAAGACAATGTTGAGAAACTGTTCAGATAATGACAAGACAATGTTGAGAAACTGTTCAGATAATGACAAGACAATGTTGTGAAACTGTTCAGATAATGACAAGACAATGTTGTGAAACTGTTCAGATAATGACAAGACAATGTTGTGAAACTGTTCAAATAATGACAAGACAATGTTGTGAAACTGTTCAGATAATGACAAGACAATGTTGTGAAACTGTTCACAATAAATGTTGAGAAACGACAAGACAATGTTGTGAAACTGTTCAGATAATGACAAGACAATGTTGTGAAACTGTTCAAATAACGACAAGACAATGTTGTGAAACTGTTCAGATAATGACAAGACAATGTTGTGAAACTCTTAAGTAAATGACAAGACAATGTTGTGAAACTGTTCAGGTGATGACGAGAAGATGAGGTGAAACAGTTCAGGCCATATCAAGACGATATGGTGAAAACTATGTCATGGCATGGTTCGGGTGTTAAGACAATATGATGACGTGCAGCAGTTGGTAACATGAAAATATGATGACGTGCTGCAGTTAATAACATGACAATATGATGACGTGCTGCAGTTGATAACATGGCAATATGATGACGTGCTGAACTTGATAACATGACAATATGATAACGTGATGCAGTTGATAACATGACAATATGATGACGTGCTGCAGTTGATAGCATGACAAAATGATGACGTGCTGCAGTTGATAACACGACAATATGATGACGTGCTGCAGTTGATAACATGACAGTATGATGACGTGATGCAGTTGATAACATGACAATATGATGACGTGCTGTAGTTAATAATAATATGACAATACGATGACGTGATGCAGTTGATAATATGATAATATGATGACGTGGTTCATGTGATAAGAAATGTGATGACATGGTTCTGGTGATAAGCCGATGTCATGACAATGTGATAATCACAATATTAACACTAGGTTCTCAGAAAAATATAGAGGATAAAGAAGCCTTTTTGATTAGATGATACAAGAGGGAAAATAGCACGATATGGTGAATTGTGGCAGTGGATAAATAACACAACATGACCACATGGGACAGAAGATAAATAACAAAATATCACGACGTCTGGCAAATAGCACAATTTGATGAAGTTGTGCAGGACATAGAAAACAATATGACTTGGTGTTGGTGGGGTACTGGTAAAACAATGACGTGTGAGTGAATGAGTTTAAAGCCGCTTTGAACAGTTACATTAAGGCGTGTCAGCTGGAGGACTGCCCGAGGGGGGTCAGGTCTTAGCCCTGTATCAGCATGGGGATCATGCTGACACAAAACTACCAAGGTAAGAATCGGGATTCCAACCCCTGGTCGTCGGTTTTCTGGCGTGTTCAAAAAGCGCAACTGAGCACAACAAAGTGTAATTAGACAATGCACTATACAATAGCACATAAGACCTTATGATGGTGTGTTGTAAAGACATAGGAAGTGTTACACAAGACGAATAAGGATATGGCGAGGTGTTACACAAGACGGGTAAGGACACATGACGATGTGTTACACCAGACGGGTAAGGATATGACGGTGTGTTACACAAGACGAATAAGGACACATGACGATGTGTTACACAAGACGGGTAAGGATATGACGGTGTGTTACACGAGACGGGTAAGCATATGACAGTGTGTTACAAAAGACGAATAAGGACATATGGCGATGTGTTACACAAGACGATTAAGGACATATGACAATGTGTTGCACCAAACGGGTAAGGATATGACGGTATGTTACACAAGACGAATAAGGACATTTGATGATATGACAAGAATCCAATCATCCACATCGACCCTCTCAGCCAGTGACGTCGTACAACGTCGTAGCTTGCAACATCAATACCTAAATATAGACTATAACCTTCCAGTGTCGGCGCTTCAGACCTATTGTCAACACATACACCGCTGTCAGGGGTGGTTCTAACACAGACACACGCTCCATTGGGCTTTGCAATGTTCTTACTACGTCAAGTGGTCAATAACACAAATCGGGACAGGCAACTTTCACACAGGGTCATGGTATTCCAAGAAGAGACACATGTCATGTTTTACATATCCGTTGTCAGGTGCCCCACACTTGCGTAAATCGAGGTATGACAACCAGCGGGCGGATGGACAGTATTTAGCCAGCTTGCGTGGTCTATAATTCCGTGCCTCTAATAACAGGAATAGCAAATGTAATTAACCCTAAATGTCTTTCTGGTATTTTTGTATTTTTAGATGATGTATTTCTGGCACGGCTCAGCTTGTCAGCGGAATAGGTTATATATGTGTATATACACAATGTACTGAAAACAGGATTTTAGAAGTGTCATGACTCATCAATTCTTACCTGTATCGATGTCGTTGATGTTAAACTTGTTCATGATCTGTAGGTACAATGTGCCGTATGCGAAATGGAAGCCGTTACACAACACGTGAACAAGCGTGGCTGCCACCACCACTACCCAACCCCACCCGCCATCGGGGTAGTAGTCGGCGAAGTCCAGTCTGGGAGGAACCTTTTCCTGCATGCTGCACGGGTCTTTCTTGTGCACGCGGCTGCACGATGTGTCGCGTGTCGTCTGCGACTGTCCGCTGCGTGTGCTTTCCCCGCTGCGTGCGCTCTCGTCGCTGCTCAGACGATATAAAAGATGCTTCTCAGATTTACTGTTACCGACATCGTCGCAGGTTGTAGAGGCAGGCATTGCCTCGTCTCGACCTCAAAATATGCTAGTTATCACTACATACAATTGTACGTCAGCCACACAGTCTTGAAGGGTTGGCATAGTCTGAGTCGCCGATGGATATTTATAACACATAACGTGACTCCAAAAACCCGCGGTGCTGTTGGCAGAGGATTCCTCACGTCGATTCCCGGCTCATGGCACAAACTGTTGACATCCATCCGAGAAAAGACACCATTGCACAGTGGACCCCCCTCGTCGACTCGAGCAATCACCAATGGTTATAGCCTTTTCCTTAAACCAGAATCCTGCAGAGAGACACAGGCGAGGTAGACAGCAGTTATTTTGGTTTTCCCAGTGTAGCCACGAGTAGCGGTAGTGACGACGGAAGACTGTTTGCTCATGAATATCGTCTGCACAACCAGTTGCAGACGTAAACCAGCCAAGCTAGCAACGCAGACGTCAAAGTTTTGGGCGGCAAACGACAGGGCAACTGGTGGTGACGCGTTGTTGGGTATAGGGTTGGAGGTCCGGCTCTGTCCGTCTCTGACCACGAGGAATGGAGGATATGTCAGATGACGGAACTGAACGCACGAGGCTTACACTGCAATCTGGTGGCCAGTCATATAGGCGAGGAATGAGGCAAGGCCTATTGGTAGCCTGGCAGCTCGATCCCTATAGAAGGTCGCAGCCGGCCGTCAGTGCGACCCGATGGCGGTACGCATATCGATTGATTGTAAAACATGGCCTCGATTCTGTGAGGCAAAGCGGTAGGTGATTGGCTACAACCCATGTCGATTATTGGCGTCTGCTCACATAATGTATGTTCCTGACGATGTGTAGTTGTTGTAGTCCAACTGAGAGGCCAGGCGACATGCTGATCGGAGCTTGTCAGTTCGAATTCATCAATGTGACCCAATTAATGCGTCGACAGTTGTTGGAACTCACCAGCAAGGTGTGATTGCTCGGCCTCCAGCTGCCTGAGAACTAGCAAGGATGGGATGAGGCGTCATGCACGACCAGGGAGGGAGCTGAGGCGACGGAGTCGGGCATTAATATATGTCGGGGACACAGTATGGCCGTCGCTTTGTTGATAAACTGCATTACCCAGGTGTACACGAGCGTCCAAGAGCCTTGTCCGCACACCAGCAGTATGCAAATAAGTCAGCGGGATAGAGCGTTGTCATAGCAACACAATATAGCAACGCGCGTAATTCAACGTTGGTATGGTAACCCAAGCTTGGACGTTACGGCAAAAGGATGAAACAACGGTAGGATTGAGGAGCTCGGCTGAGCCTCTGAAGCTTCCACAGCACTGAGTACAAACCCAGCCCTTGGGCGAGCTTTTATCGGCAACGCGCTAAATCTGGACGAAAGTCAGACTGAAGAAGCTATTGCTGTCACAGCTAGTATCACCTTGTCACGTTTCATGCGGCCCAATACAAACCTTGACTATCTACTTCAGATTTAATATTTCGAGATGAATCTTTCGTACTTAAATAGCTCTGAAAATATACGGATTTATACATTCTGTGTTAGGGGTTTTCTACGGGTTAATATTGTCGGTACTTGGCAACTGATACCGCCGACAGAACACGTGTAGTGCTTACATTGGCCAAAAGTTTGGTCAGTACAAACGTGTCTTATTATTACAAAGAAATGCCATTTAGGGTCAGTAACAGCTCAACTGAGTGATTAGGATATTAGAATTGCAAACGACATTATTGGATATATTTCATGGTTTTATTGTGAGGGCAGAAGAGATAGGAGTGTTCTATTTCTTCTTAATGTCCTGCATGTGAATACCCCAGCCACATAATACAGATTAACTTTCTTTTTTGAACGGTAACTAATAAATCAAATATAGATGATGCCCATATAGTCGACGTATCCTCTCATCATTGCCTTCAATGGTAATTGTGAAACCAGTGGTGCGCCGGGTTCTATTTTTACACAAATTCATTTCTTATTTGGCAATTTATTTGGCAATATCACGTCGGGCGTTAAGATGGAACTTGGTTACCCCCGTTTAGGTGTAGTATCCTCCTGTATATCTGTCTGATGACAGGCGCCGCACCCCTAATGACATTCTCCTCTGACCCTAACGCCGCCCCCTAATTCTGCCTCCACCGCCCCCGCCGGCTGATGCCGCACTCCTCAGTACACCAACGCTGAAATCCCTCTGCCACCTCAGAGATGAAAACCAAGATGGCCACATCATGACACTAGCCTACCCCCGACCCTCCCCGACACCAGCGTACCCTCCCCTCTCCCTGACACCAACATCCCCCTACCACCACCCACCCTGTAAAGCCAGGTGTGTCGAGGTTCCACCAGGTATGATAATAATGATGCACTATTCTGACCAGAATAATAACAGAAATTTGTGGCAAGATATACCATAACATGAGTGAGTGAGTTGCGTTTTACGCCGCACTCAGCAATATTCCAACTATATGGCGGCGGTCTGTAAATAATCAAGTCTGGACCAGACAATCCAGTGATCAACAGCATGAGCATCGATCTGCACAGTTGGGGACCGACGACATGTGTCAACCAAGTCAGCAAGCCTGACCACCCGATCCCGTTAGTCGCCTCTTACGACAAGCGTGGGTTACTAAAGATCAATATTCTAACCCGGACCTTCACGGGTCACCACAATATGACGTACTGTTTGAAACTATTTTATATATTCTGCTTTAAAAAAGAAAATAATATAATCATGCAATAATTTATTCATTAAAATATTCAACAAACAGGATAGACTTACAGCCGACAATTCGTCAAAAACAGAGAAATAATGGTATTGAGACACAATCAGAAATCCTCAGACTGTATCTTCTGAGGATAAGCTATAGAATAACAACACCGGGCTGTTTTCCTGTCTTAATATACTATATGTCGATTGTATTAAAGACAACACAATGTCATTGTTTTAATGTGAAAATCAAGCAGCTAAGTATCACGTCTGAAATGTGTAAATTTCTGAAAATTTATTTAAGATGTCACCTTTGCAAGGGTCATACATAATATGCCTCCTGGCTATTAACTTTCTACAAAAACAACGGTGGAACCTTTAGCTGTAGGTTACATAGACAAACGATTTATATATAATTTAGTATATGATATATATGATTTTGATGGAAACAAAATGTGAAAACAATGATATAAGAGAAAAGACTTTTGCAGTGCAGATAGGGATGCGCAGATGGGAAGGTTATGTGGTTCAGGGACTGTGTGAGAGACTGTTAGGTACATTGTTGGCTCGTCAAGCTGAAGATCAAGGGATCATTCCACGGTCCTTCCGTCGTGACGGGCATTACACATTGAGAACAGTAGACGTAAAGTCACTCGGGAGATGTGTCTGTAAAGTATATTCACACGGGAGATATATCTGTGAATATTCACTATATTCACTCGGGAGATATATCTGTGAAGTATGGAGATATATGTAAAAAGTATATTCACTCGGGAGATATATCTGTGAAGTATATTCACTCGGGATGTGTCTGTGAAGTATATTTACTCGGGAGATATGTCTGTGAAGTATATTCACTCGGGATATATGTCTGTGAAGTACATTCACTGGGGACATATGTATATGAAGTATATTCGCTCGGGAGATCTGTTTGTGAAGTATATACACTCGGGAGGTATGTTTGTGAAGTATATTCACTCGGGGATTCATATATGAAGTATATTCGCTCGGGAGATATGTCTGTGAAGCATATTCACTCGGGTGATATATCTGTGAAGTATATTCACTCGAGAGATATGTCTGTGAGGTATATTCACTCGAGAGATAAGTATATTCACTCGGGATATATGTCTGTGAAGTATATTCACTCGAGAGATATATATCTGTGAAGTATATTCACTCGGGATATATGTCTGTGAAGTACATTCACTCGGGACATATGTATGTGCTGCATATTCACTCGGGATATATGTCTGTGAAGTACATTCACTCGGGACATATGTATGTGAAGTATATTCACTCGGGATATATGTCTGTGAAGTACATTCACTCGGGACATATGTATGTGAAGTATATTCATTCGGGAGATATGTTGTAAAGTATACTTACTCGGGAGTTATGTGTCTGTGAAGTACATTCACTCGGGATATATGTCTGTGAATTACATTCACTCGGGAACTATATATGTGAAGTATATTCACTCAGGAGATATGTATGTGAAGAATATTCACTCGGGAGTTACGTCTATGAAGTACATTCACTCGGGAGATATGTCTATAAAGATATATATTCACTTGGGGATATGTATGTGAATAAATTCACTCGAGAGATATATATATGAAGTATATTCACTCGGGAGATATGTCTGTGAAGTATATTCACTCGGGAGATATGTATGTGAAGTATATTCACTCGGGATATATGTCTGTGAAGTACATTCACTCGGAACATATGTATGTGAAGTATATTCACTCGGGATATATGTCTGTGAAGTACATTCACTAGGGACATATGTATGTGAAGTATATTCGCTCGAAAGATATGTCTGTGAAGTACATTCATTCGGGAGACATGTTGTAAAGTATACTTACTCGGGAGTTATGTCTGTGAAGTACATTCATTCGGGATATATGTCTGTGAATTACATTCACTTGGGAACTATATATGTGAAGTATATTCACTCGGGAGATATGTATGTGAAGAATATTCACTCGGGAGTTACGTCTATGAAGTACATTCACTCGGGAGATATGTCTATAAAGTATATTCACTTGGGGGATATGTATGTGAATAAATTCACTCGGGAAATATGTATGTGAAGTATATTCACACGGGAGATATGTCTGTGAAGTATATTCACTCTGGGAATATGTCTGTGAAGTATATTCACTCAGGGATTTATATATGAAGTATATTCACTCGTTGGGAATATGTCTGTGAATAAAATTCACTAGGGAAATATATATGTGAAATATATTCACTCGAGAGAAATGTCTGTGAAGTATATTCACTCGAGAGAAATGTCTGTGAAGTATATTCTCTCGGGAGACATGTCTGTGAAGTATATTCACTCGGGGGATATGTATGCGAAGTATATTCACTTGGGGATTTATATATGAAGTATATTCACTCAGGAGATAGGTCTGTGAAGTATATTCGCTCGGGAGATCTGTTTGTGAAGTATATACACTCGGGAGGTATGTTTGTGAAGTATATTCACTCGGGGCTTTATATATGAAGTATATTCACTCGGGAGATATGTCTGTGAAGTATATTCACTCGGGAGATATATCTGTGAAGTATATTCTCTCGGGAGGGTATGAAGTATATTCATATATGTATGTTAAGTATATTCACTCGGGAGGTATATTCACTCGGGAGATATATCTGTGAAGTATATTCTCTCGGGGGTATTTATATGAAGTATATTCACTCAGGAGGTATGTCTGTGAAGTATATTCACTCGGGAGATATGTCTGTGAAGTATATTCACTCGGAAGATACGTCTGTGAAGTATATTCACTCGTGAGATATGTCTGTGAACTAGATTCACTCGTAAGATATATCTGTGGAGTATATTCACTCGGGAGATATATGTATGAAGTATATTCACTCGGGGGATATGTATGTTAAGTATATTTACTCGGGGATTTATATATGAAGTATATTCACTCGGGAGATATGTATATAAAGTGTATTCACTCGGGGAATATGTATGTGAAAAGTATATTTACTAGGGGATTTATATATGAAGTATATTCACTCAGGAGGTATGTCTGTAAAGTATATTCCCTCGGGAGGCATGTCTGTGAAGTATATTCACTCAGGAGATATGTCTGTGAAGTATATTCACTCTGGAGAAATGCCTGTGAAGTATATTCTCTCTGGACATATGTATATGAATAATATTTACTCGGGACATATGTCTGTAAAGTATATTCACTTGGGAGGTATGTATGTGAAGTAAATTCTCTCGGGAGTTATGTGTGTGAAGTAAATTAACTCGGGAGATATGTTTGTGAAGTATATTCTTTTTTGATATATGTCTGTGAAGTATATTCGCTCGGGAGATATGTCTGTGATGTATATTCACTTGTGACATATATCTGTGAAGTATATTCACTCGGGAGATATGTCTGTGATGTATATTCACTGGGGAGATATGTCAGTGAAGTATATTCACTTGTGACATATATCTGTGAAGTATATTCACTCGTGAGATATATCTGCGAAGTATATTCACTCGGGAGAAATGTAT